CTGTTATTTTTCACGGCAAGTAGGGCTAACCAAAGTTGCTCTATTTCAGATCTCTTCCTTTCTATGTGAATCTAGTTGAAATGAGCACATTCCTTACAAATCCAATCCCAACCCAAGCATATCTACGACTTACGTAACACGTGTTGTAGACCTAGCGACCGAATCTATGCAAGTGGTGTGAGATTCAGAACAGGCTTGTAAATTAACCCATGAACTTCGGAGACAGCTATCCGCTGCCAAAACTAGTAGTTTGGATCGACTTGGACCAACGAGGAAGTAACTGCATACGTCACGTGATGGCCTTGAGTTTTCCCTGAAGTTTCCTGCTACTTCTATCTATTATTGGTTCAAATGGGCTTTTCGGTGACATACCGGGTCTTACTCGGAGGTTTCGCTTCATCCCGGCTACCATGTCTCCATCCCTCCTCAGTTTTATGATTGATGATTTTTTTCTTAGATTGTTCTGCCGAATCACCAACTGAAACTTCGGTTATGCACATGACATAGACCTCCTTGGACCACGCAATCATTACTGCATCTACTGATGCATAGTGCTGCACGCTACGGTTTCTGTTTTACGCTTCGAAGTGCAAGGTTTTGTTGCCGGACTAGATCGATAAGCCACCGGTTCTAGGTACCAGCAAACATCTCCTGGAAGTGGTGGATCGGTGCACTTACCTTGGTAGTTGGGTCACCTCGGTTGGGCACATCTCTGAGAGAGTTATTTTGCATATCGTCTAGGCCCCTGTGGCATTTCAGAGGCACAACCATTTGTGCAGACGGCAGGATATCAGCCAGTCACTGGAAGGTGCAGTATATAACGCTGCGATAAGGCCGATCTTATTTTATGGATCAGAGACCTGGTCACTTCACATTTTTGCTCTTAATCGATTTACAGTTTTTACTCAGCGGTGCTTGTGGAGTACTGCGTACATCTGGTGGGAACACCGGGTGTACATTACTGAAGTCCATCAATTAGTGTTTGGTAAGCAAAGCTCTTGTGTCTTACTGGATTGCCTGGTAAGGTTATGCTGGTTATTCATGAGTAAAGGCATTTTCGATGAAATTCCATCGCATTTATTGCAGTAGCTTACAAGTCAGAAAGCCTATCGCCAATCCGTAAGACACCAGACGACGGTTCCATCCTATTAGTGCCCATTGGCTGGGCCATGTTCTCTGCAAGCCCGTTAACGATCACGTTTCTCGGTGTGCTGTCGCTGCACTTAGCTGAGAAAAGCCACCAGCTGACCAGTCGATGAGGTGGTATAAAGGCATACGAAAATTGAGTGGGTGAATTGGTCACGCTGGCGCGTGCACCCTTCTTGGATGGCGGCTCCGTGATGGTCCATATCAGCGGTTGGAAATTCTATCGGACCTAGAGCAGTAGCGTGAGTAGTAGCTTTCCTGCGCTCAACTTCTTGCATCTAGTAGTTCATATTTCATTCCAACCAATTTTGCCCAGTTTAGCTCACTTATCGCTTTGCGTTTTACCCCATTTTCTAACCATTGCCATTTATTCTTATCCTCTCGGACCCCAACCAGATTGTCGACAACAACCGGCCGAGGCCAACTTTTTCGCCAGCTTTTTCATGCGGCTTCTCCAAGTTGAAGGCTGTCCACCAGACCGTCTCTTCCAGCCCTGTCCAGCAGTCGCCAACAACGCACGACGCGGGTAACGCTGGATAGGCATGTGCAATACGTGTCCCAGCCACCGCAGTTGTTTTAGTGCGATGAGCTCCTCGAGCGAGTGGCTTCCTCGTCCCAAGACACGCTGTCTAAATTCCACATTGTTTACGTGGTGCCGCCACCACACACGGGCAATGGACCGCAGACAGCGGTGCTCGAAGACGGATAGCCTGCGCAAGTCATCTTTACGAATGGGCCATGTGTCGCATCCGTACAACAGTACAGCACCAACAGTTGCACAATAGACCCGCTCTTTGATCGAGAGACGAATGTCATGACGACGCCACAAGTGCCTCAGCCTAGAAGAAGCGAGGCGTGCTCTCGAGATGCGCATCGAAATCTCATCTCCAACAGCCCTGCCAGCAGTGATGCAACTTCCCAAGTAGACAAAACTCTCTACAACCTCTAGTGTCTCACCACCAAGTGTGAGTGCAGACAAGCATCTACCAATCTTGAAAGAGAGCCTTACATTTGGATGGCGTAAAGTACATACCGTACTTTGATGCTTCAATCGCCGAGCGGTTTAATGCAAGTTGGACAACGTGTGGATCGTCACCCAGCAAGACGATATCGTCAGCATAATCCAAATCAACAACTTGACTACCTGAGAGGAGCTCAACGCCAGCGTTCAACGAATCGCCCAGAGCGTTCTTTAGAACATCCTCAATGGCAAAGTTGAATAGGAACGGAGTGATAGGGCATCCTTGTCGAACTCCACTGGAGACCACAAAAGAAGGCGAAAGCTTGACAGAAGCCCTATCCTTGCCCTAGGTTAAACCATAGAGAGCACGCAGTATGGAGACGAACTTCTCACTGGACGCCATTCCTCAGTGGGCAGTGCCACAGTACCATCCGATAGATAGAATCGAAAGCTGCACGGCTATGTTAGAACACAGCAATCATTGGCCTCTGATATACATGGCGGAGTGTGAAGGCTTGATCGATGCAACCGCGATCAGGGCGAAACCCAGCTTGTTCTTCTCGTTGCAACGATTCGCGTGTTGGGGATAGCCTGCGAAGTATGGTGGACACCGGCAGCTTGCAAACGACGGGGACTAAACTTATACCTCTGTAGTTGGAGGAGATTGTGCGCAGGTCCTTTCTGAAAATGGGGACGACTATCGATTCACCCCTAGATGATGGAACTTCCTCTTTCGACTAAACTTTTGAGAACAAGGCAGTGAGTTCTTGAACCAGCGAAGCACCACCATCTTTAAATAGGGCTGGAAAAGGACTATCAGGGTCCGGAGCTTTATACCGCTTCATGTGGCGGAGCTCCTGCTCGATTTCCTGGTAAGAGGGAGGATCTGTGGGAGTGGACAACTTTCTCAAAGATGACGCATTGGGGGTAGCACAGCGCCATCTGACTCCGAACAATAACCTCGGGGAGCGAACGAACCTCACAGCCTGAAGGGCTTTTTTGTTGTTTCTTTGTTCCTCTCCCGGTTCGTTTCTACCTCCAACCACGATCTCAAACTCGATACATAATATGGTGCTAAGGATTGTATTACTCGTTTTTGGTCCATTTTGCATTCTGCAGTTGTATCTCTTTTTGTATTGCGGCACATTTGCTGAAGTATGTTTCTCACCTTTAGCTAATGCCTAATGTACCTTCTGTAGAGTTATCATTGTATTACATGGGCATGATGTCAGCTTGCCCAGACCAAGACAAGCTTTTGCTTAAAAAACTCAACGCTAAGGTAGCGTGAGTTTATTAGTGGCATACAGGGAGTTCCTTTCAAAGTACGAGGCGCCACTCTCATTCTAATGCCCAATCTCGAGGATAATTGGACTGAGTTTGTGGGTTCTGTACCCACTGACTGATCCATTTTTGGTGGCTCTGATGGTGCAAATATACTACCCAGCACAGTTCAATGGATTGTTGAAACACACAAATCATCACACCACATTAAGGTCCAGTTTCGCCGCAGTGGGAGAACTTGGTATCGTTTAGGACTTCCCACGCTCTGACGCCCTTCTGTTGTTTTTCCGCGACTATGTATTCATTTTTTCGGCTTAGTAAATGAGGCTTGTTCAGAGCTACATCCTGGGTATTTCCCAACATGATAGCGCAAAGCTCCATCTCTGTTGTTGTCCCATCATGAAACGAACTACGGCCCGTTCACTGCCACGTATATTTCTGGTAAATCCACTCCAGTTTTTAACTGTGTACGTATCTAGGGAGTACAACACGGTATCAAACCTTTGTTTTAACAGCATACCTCCTAGTTCTGTTCCCCCGGGTTTATATTGAATATGTGTTGGTGTATGAGCGAAGCTGTCGGTCTTGTAGCTCAGGCTCCCCATGACTCTTCTGTTGGCTTAGGCGTCATGTGGCATTGGTAGAATTCCATAACCCGAACATGAAGCAACGTGTTAATGTCTGCCTACCATGTATGATTCCGATTATTCCAATCAAGCACTTCACAAAGTTCTCTATCCAATCGGGAAATCAGAAGATAAAGACCTTTGAAAGAATGCTTGTTCACCAGTACAACTGCCCAAACACAATCTATTCAGCTGGAGTCGTCATCACGTTATATTGGTCCAGAAGTGAGCCGTCGTGGTTACCTCGAAGTTCACCTAATTTGGGTTTTGTTCCCACGCAACTCAGTAGGTAATATTTGGTAGTTCAACATTTTGACAATTGGTCTTTCCTAGAGTTGGATGCTGGTTCTGCTGGAAATACATCGATCCGCCCCATGTGGCATTAAATGCTGTCCATTAGTCGATTTCCATGAAACAAGGCGTAGAAAGGAAACCTCTCTCAACACGCAGTGCAGCTGTTGTGCCCCCGTTAATTTACCCATTATATGTCCATACCGTTAGTGTTACTCACTGATCTAGCCAGCAAATTACTCTTTTCTAACCCAAGGTCAACTTACCGCCTCACCCCTCTCATTCGTTTTGTTCACTTCATGTTGGAATGTTGGTTTAACACTAATCATCCATTGCTTTTAGCAATGCCGTAATGCACTTGTATATTATTTTTTTCAGCAACTGTAGGCTGATGTGCATCATCCGACCGTTTATTACTCATGAATACCATGCTCATGGTTCCTAACTATTCACCATCTGCTATAAACAACCGCACGGATAGGCCATATGGCCTGGAGCGTAGCCACAGATACTTTTGCTTTGTCTGTGGTACTCTTTTGCCCCACAAATTCGAGGCTACGGACGCTCTGATTTGTCGCCGATGCAATACCGCCACGTTTTTGGATTGGTTCACGGGTATGGAAGTTACTTTCACCGACCAATTGAATCGCCGCACCACGCTGACGAATGAGACCACTTCGGCGTATTTCAGATCCATGCTGAAACGGGCAAAGAAAATTTTAAGATCAGAACTTAGTCTAAAGGAAGATTTGGAGGCAGAACTTACTCATAATTCTACTGATGATGGACCATCCATTCGCAAGGAATGCGCATACTGCGGCAACGATCGCATGACTTACGTTACCCTTCAGACTCGTTCAGCAGATGAGGGGCAAACAGTGATTTATACCTGTACACAATGTTCTAAAAAAGAGGTTGAAAATACTTAATTCACCTTTGTCTCTTGTTTTGCCTCTTTGATTTATTTTCGGCTCAAGATCGCCCTCACTCCATGTGATCACAGTGCGCGGCAGGCCAGTGCTCCTGGCCTTCGGATTTCGCTGATGGATCTTGTCCACACAACACAACATTTGAGGCCACAGTTTCCACTTGTTCGCCAATGCTACCTGAGTTATGACATCCGTACCCCAGTGGATCCGCAGTGAGCGAATCGCAGTCATGAGTACCGGATCACTTGCAACTCGATTACATTTAGAACCTTTCTGAACGCACAACGAAACCGGCGTCCATATATATGTAGATCTTTGGTGCGATGCTTCACTGACCTCTCTTCTGCACAGAATGACCGACCAAGGCGTTCTGCACGGCCGGGAACAGTTAGGTCATACCCTTTAGGTTGTTAGAATTAAGCAAATGCGCGAAGAATCTTCTTTTCGATAATTCTCATCGGGCGTGTACAATTATGAAGCAAAATATTGGAGAGAATAAAGCTTGTAGAGGCTTGTACAGAAAGCAACCAACTCATTAACTGAACAGTATGAATATTAAACCAATGATTTGATCAACCAGACTGTCGCATTAGGAAGCATGTGATCAAGACAGGTCATATGTCAAGTTCAAGGCCAAGGCAATTTCAGAGTCTGTAGCAGTGTGCGTTGTTTACATAGCTCTGGTTTTAGAACCTTGATTGCAGTGGCTTCAGAAATGGTCAACATATGTTTCTCAAGCTCTTTTGGGAAAGTATAAACGAGTTGAAACGACTGGTTCATCTGAACTTGATGTCCAGTGTTAACCAAGTGTTGTAAACCGGAACTCTTGATGGATTTTACGGTGCCTTTTCGTAGTGACGCAGGACAATGTTCAGCGGTTCTTTTGAACAAGCACCTGGTCGTACGTCCAAAATACCTAGCACCACAAGTGCAGGGGGACTGGTATAAAACAAATGATTCGGACCGAACCGGGAGTTTATCCTTTAAGCGCTGAAGAATCAATGGCCTTGTTTCGGCAAGTAGTTTTAGTTTGCCGGCTGGTAATATCTTGGCCACTGCGGCCGAGATTTTTTTTATTCAACAGTTTGAACGCGACGTCACCTTTAAAGGGAACTTTAAGGAATACGTCCTTTTTGGGCACTTTAGCGACACATTTGACAGCCTTAAACTTTTTGGAGTGCTTTATGATGAAAGGTACGGGGTATCCATCTTCTTGCAGCGTGGTAAAGATGAGCCTGATTTAGCTTTTTAGCGTCTCTAGACTGCAGATTGCTCTGGCACGATGGTATAAGCAACGGACTAAATCCCTCTTGTATCTCAGCGGTACAAAGCTAAGAAAGTGGGTGTATTGACCTACCCACGTCGCTTTGCGAAAAACACCTTCCATCGTCCCGTTTTCATGCCGATGTAATAGAACGTCTAAGACCGCCAAGCAGCCATCTTGCTCAACTTCACTGGTGAATTTTAATGATGAATGCACTCGGTTAAACTGATCTAATAGGGTGAGATAATCGGTGGAAGAGTCAGACAATGAAAGTGTTGTCTATGTAACGGTAGTATAAATCGAATGAAGTTTTAAAGGTGTTCAGGTGTCCACGTTCAAGCTTTGAAAGGAAGATGTCGGCCAAAAGTGGGCCTAGAGGAGAACCCATTGCGACTCCATCAATCTGTCTATAATGGATTCCATTAAACAGAAATTGTACGTTGAAAATGCAACGCAGAATCAATTCTTTTAATTTATTCGCCGGAATTCCAACATCAATGTTTCTCTCGTGATGAAATCACAAATGAACGTCACAGTATCTACCAACGGCACGTTCGTGAAAAGTGATTCCGCGACAAACGAAAGCATTAATTTATCCTTCAGGTTTAGCTTTTCTAAAACTATTTGCCGAAACAAGACCATTGACTCTTCAGCGCTTAAAGGATAAACTCCCGGTTCGGTCCGAATCGTTTGTTTTATACCAGTTCACCTGCACCTGTGGTGCTAGGTATTTTGGACGTACGACCAGGTGTTTGTCTAAAAGAACCGCTGAATATTGTCCTGCGTCACTACGAAAAGGCACCGTAAAATCCATCAAGAGTTCCGGTTTACAACACTTGGTTAACACTGGACATCAAGTTCAGATGAACCAGTCGTTTCAACTCGTTTATACTTTCCCAAAAGAGCTTGAGAAACATATGTTGACCATTTCTGAAGCCACTGCAATCAAGGTTCTAAAACCAGAGCTATGTAAACAACGCACACTGCTACAGACTCTGAAATTGCCTTGGCCTTGAACTTGACATATGACCTGTCTTGATCACATGCTTCCTAATGCGACAGTCTGGTTGATCAAATCATTGGTTTAATATTCATATTGTTCAGTTAATGAGTTGGTTGCTTTCTGTACAAACCTCTACAAGCTTTATTCTCTCCAATATTTTGCTTCATAATTGTACACGCCCGATGAGAATTATCGAAAAGAAGATTCTTCGCGCATTTGCACTTCTGACTCAAATGGTGATAATTTGTGAACTGTGTTAGCCTTAGGTAAAATTATGTGGGTATGCGGGTGTTATCCGAGCTCGGTGAATTAGGTGAAATTAATTACCTGAGTAGTAAGTCCAAGTACCGGTGGCTTGGTTGGTTGTGGGTTTCGGAGCACTCGCCTCGGGTCTTTAATTGCGACACGCAATCTCAATTGTGGTCTCGGCGGACTTTTAAGTCAGCTTCTGCCTTTTCGATCACCGGGACCGTGTCTTGTTGGTGGTTGAAATCTTACTTGGTTTTCCGTGGGAGCGATTTGATTACTTATGAGTAGTCAGCAATCAGAGTAAAATGTCGTTAATGTCTGGCACCATTGGTCTCATTGATTGCCGTACTTTTTCCAGCAGGTGACTAATAACGGAACCATGCGTATAGTTCAAAAAGATGACGCAAGCAAGCCGTGATCAGAATGCTTTTATGTTGTATATGGGGCATTTGAAAATCCGACTTGATCACGTAGGTAAGCAGGACTGCAGTCTCCACTCCAGCGCTCCGTTGAATACTGGATCGCATTTGTTTTGTCTATGCAGTGTTGGCCGACGACATATGCCTCGATGCGGTTGTTTCTGTGTAGAACAACCCCGACCGAAACAGGACGGTCAAACAAGAGCAGTTCACCATTGTTTCCGTACTTAACTCGCTTGCTTTGATCGTGTTTGACTTTATATAGTAGAATTAAGGCACAGGAAGAGCGGTTTCTGTAATTTATCCAGCATCGCTTTGTGACTCCATATTTGAGCTTGTACACGAAACTTTTCTCACTGCACAACCTTAACTGTCGTTAACCTTAGTGCCCTAGTTATCCTGATAACTCATGGTCACCAAATAACAGTCTCCTTGTTTCAGTTAGCGAGGTACATCGCTCATTTTCTCCTTACACGCGGCTGTCAAATTGGTCGGCAACGACGCGTTCGGTCACAGCGTGAGAACCTAGCTTAGTCCAGTTGTGTGTATGGCACCATCAACCTACACATTGGTATACTTGCGTGATCTGTCGCTCTGCAGGGCACATTGTGTTAGGCAGACCTCTTAGTATGCCTGTTTAGCTTCGGACCAACGGCTTGGTACTTTGCGGTGAGTTGGCACTGTAGGTATCTTCTATGTTTCGTACCCGTACGACTCAACTGATATTTGAAAGCTTCATACGAATTTTCCGGTAGGTTGTGATATGGACCAGCGAGATCATTGGTTTGCCGGGGCTGTGTTATATCTGTTGAGTTCGTTTAAGCCTGCAAATCAAGTGCGGGAGAAGCCCATCGAGGGAATACCCCGCATGGAAGCAGGTCACTTTGGGATGGTTCCATGGATGACCGTATTACCTGAAATTTTGACTATGCATCTGTTGTGGTTCCCAATTTTTTAATCACTCTGATACCTTCAAACTGCCAGTCACTTACAAGACGCATTTGGGATCCGTCATACAAAACATAAACAGTTAAATATCTTACGCGATCTCGTTGTACAGATTGATCAGGCCACTCAGTTAGGGTGTGCCTCGCACCAGCGAAGAATACACCTTTTATTTATTTATATCTGAGGTGTCTGAGACTTCTGAACACAGGTCCGATTCCGTGCATCCGAAGCATGATTTTCGCCGTGATTTATACATACTGGTGCAGATGTAGGGTGGGCAATTTGAGTACGTCTGTAACTAGCACATACTAAGCTTGAGGCTTTAGCGATGTCACCTCAAATGCCACATTCGGATTGTTAATACAAGACCTGAAAATGAATCAATATGTTCTGCTTCACAAAAACCAGAGAAAAGTATCATCAGGCCGAGTTGGTGCTTGCCTTTGTTTTATCTTTTCCAATGGAATCTTCTCAAGAAATGTAGTAAGATGACAGCCTTGATGGGAATACAATCGTGCTTCGTTTTTAGACTTCTCGGCAGAGTGCGGCCAAGAATTATGTTCCCTAATATTGTCTCCAATACCAACTAAACTTACCAATCCCTGTGAGTGTAAGAAGGGTGATTACACATAGTCTCCTAATAAGAAACGAATCTCTAAGAAACCTAACTACCTTTGCCACCACCTGAAAGTTGGCCGCGAAATAACCTAAGGGTCCACTAGTTGCAGATGGTCGACTAAGACATCATCGGAATTGTTTCGGTCTCTAAATGTGTTAGTCATGGTGTGCAATCCCAAATGACATTATTTCTTCATCTACGGTATCGATATGTATAGACGACTTTACGATGAATTAAAATGTGCTCACCGAGAGACGACTTAGCGTAAACAACCAGCATGCTCATCAAGTTTCCGTATATAATTGGAAGAATCAGGTCCACATGTATACGTCTGTTGGGTCTATCTATGCGCGCTGTACTTTGCCGGTAGTCCTCTCAGACAGTTATCTCCCGGACCACCCTATGTTAGCTTTTATATTTGCAATAAACCATTTCTCTATTGGATTCGCGATTTAATTACCGGAACTGACTTCTGACCAACCTTCTGGATGCGACAGT